ATTCAGAACAGACAAACTAATCTTAAGAAGAACCACAAAGTTGGAGGACTCACACTTCCCTATTTCAAGGTGTACTATAATGCTACAGTAATAAAGGCAGTGAGGTACTAGCACAAGGATAGGTATGTAGACCATTAAAATACAATTGACAGTCCAAAAATAAACTCACAAGTCTATGGTTAATTGATATTTGACAAGAGTGACAAAATCATTCAATGGGAGAAAAATGATCTCTTCAACAAATGGTGCTAGAACAACTGGACATCCACATGCAAAAGAATAAATTTGAGCCACTACCTCACACCACATACAAAAATTAACTTAAAATGGTTCAAAGGCCTAAATATGAGAACTAAAACTATAAAACTCTTAGAAGAAAGCATAAGGGTATATCTTCGTGAACATGGATTTCACAACGAATTCTTAGATATGATATAAAAAGCATGGGCAACAAAATTGATAATAGATAAATTGGACTTCATCAAAATTTAAACTTTTGTTTATCAAAGAACATTATCAAGAAAGTAAAAAGACAACATAAAGAATGGGAGAAAATATTTGTAAATCAATATCCAATAAGGGTTAAATATTCCGAATACATAATTAACACTTCAAATCAACAACTAAAAGACAAACAACCCAATTTTTTAAAATGGGCAAAGGACTAGAACAGACATTTCTCTAAAGAAAGTAGACAAATGCCAACAAACACATGAAAAGATGCTCAACATCATTAGTAATTAGCAAAATGGAAATAAAAACCATAATGAGATACCAACCACTTCACACCCAATAGGGTGGTAATAATAATGATAACGATAATATAGGTTGAGTATCCCTTATCAGAAGATCCCAACCATGAAAAATGTTTTGGATTTAAAGTTTTTCTGGATTTTTGAATATTTGCACGTACATAATGAGATATCTTGGGAATAGGATTCAAGTCTAAATACAAAATGTATTTTTCACATACACCTTATACAAATAGGCTGAAGGTAATTTTACAAAGGATTTTTAGTAATTTTGTGCATGAAATGAAGTTTTGACTGTGACCCATCACATGAGGCCAGTGGAATTTTCCACTTGGGGGTGTCATGTTGGTACTCAAAAAAATTCAAATTCTGGGGCATTTTGGATTTTAGATTTTTGGATTAGGGATGTTCAACCTGTAATAATCATAATAATAATGAAAAATAACAAGTGTTAGCAAGGATGTGAAGAAATCGGAACCTTAATGCATTACTGGTGGTAATGAAACATGGTGCAGCTCATGAGGGAAAAAGTTTGGCAGTTCCTCAACAAGTCAACTGCAGAATTACCATATGACTCAGCAGTTCCAGTACCAGATCTATGCCTAAAAGATTTGAAGACAGGCACTCAAACAGTTGTACACAATTGTTAGTAGCAGCACTGTTCACACCAGGTTAAAGATAAAAACAACCCAAATGTCATTCAACAGATGAATGGATAAACCAAATGTGATATATTCATATAGTGGAATATTATTCAGCTATGAAAAGGAATGGAGTATTGATACATGCTACAATGTAGATTAACCTTATTAAACACTATGCAGAGTAAAAAAAAAAAAAAGCCAGGCAGAAAATGTCACATACTATATGATTCCATTTACATGAAATGTACAGAACCGATACATCCATAAAAATCGAAAGCAAGCAGATTAGTGGTTTCCAGGACCCAAGAAGTGGAGGTGGGGGACTGCTTAAGGAGTATGGGGTTTTCTTTAGAAGTGGCAAAAATGTTTTGGAACTAGATAGGGGTGATGGCTGTACAACATTGTGAAAATACTAAAGGCCACTGAATTATACACTTGAAAGTGGTTATTTTTGTGTGAATTTCATCCAAAAAATAAAGATATTAAGAATTATGGGAGTCAGCTTGCTCACCACCAGAGAAAGGAGTTACGTGTAGAAAGTGGAAAGCAGAATGAATTCTGTGGTGTTGGACTGGAATTGGAAGTGACTCTGTGAACATATGGTTAACACTACATAGAGAGGGTCGGGTGCAGTGGGTCACACCTGTAATCCGAGCACTTTGGGAGGCCAAGGCGGGCAGATCACCTGAGGTCAGGAGCTTGAGACCAGCCTGGCCAACATGGTGAAACCCTGTCTCTATTAAAAACACAAAAATTAGCTGGGTGTGGTGGTGCACACCTGTCATCCTAACTACTCGGGAGGCTGAGGCAGGAGAATCGCTTGAACCCAGGAGGCAGAGGTTGCAGTGAGCCAAGATCACACCATTGCACTCCAGCCTGGGTGACAAAAGCAAAACTCCATCTCAAAAAAAAAAAAAAAAAATTACATAGCTAGAGAAAATAAATATAGATTGATCATGTTAATGTATGTTCATGTGCACACATGTGTGGATAGATACATAGCAATGAGCACATTCGGCACCTAGATATTGACTTCTAAATATCATTCTCCACTAAAAGGAACCAGGACTCTTTAGAGAAATCATTCATTCCAACCAGGAGCACAGAAAGTAAGCATGGGACATTTCATTGTGTCACAAACTAAGGAAGTGTTAAAAGAGTAAAAGGAACACAGAAGCCAACTTGAAGAGACTCCTACTGGCAAAACCTGGGACATATTGTGCAACAAAATTAATAATAATAATGGATTATAACTCAATGACTAAAAGAGGAGCACATGAGTTTGTACAGATATAAGTAAGTAAATAAATAAATAAATAAATGGAAACTGATAAGAAACCAGATAGTCTCCAAGTACTTACCCACAAAACGTTTATTAATATCCAAGGGAAAATGAGTCACCTAACAGGTAAGAAGCCTAACATTTCCTTCGTCTAGTAACCAAAGGGATGAAACATCAGTCATGGCACAAAGCAAAATCACATACTTCATAGGATGCAATGAGAAAAACACTGCGTAATTTCTATGATATCCCTGACAAAGATGCATCGGCAAAATCCAGTCACCGTAAAACATAAGACAAACCTAAACTGAAGAACATTTTACAAAATAACTTATCTGTAATCTTTGAAAGTGCCAAGGTTATCAAATTTCAAAAGAAACCCTTTCAAGGCTAAATGAGTCTAAAGAGTTATGACTACTAAATGCGACAAATGATTCTGAACTAAATTCTCTCTCTGTAAAAGACTTTACTGGGGCATTTGACCAAACTAGAATAGGATCTGAAGACTGGATACTAGTAATGTATTGACGCTGTAACAATTTTGATGACTACGTGGCAGTATTGTAGGAAAAATGTCTTTTTAGAAAATGTACAATAAAGTATTGAGTGGTGGGTGTCAGACTGTTGACTTACCCTCATACCTTCAGGGAAGAAAATGTACTTTATACTATATTTGCAATTTTTTTTGTAAATTTGAGATTTTTTAAGTTAAAAGAATTATGTAGAAGAATATCTTTATGCCCTCTGGGTAAGAAACAACTTCTTAAAATTAGATCCCAATAATATTTTATACTAAAGTAAAATATTGATATGTCTGATTACATTAAAATTAATGCCACAAATAGAGAAGACAAACCACAAACTGGGAAAAGGTATTATAATAAATATAACTAACAGTAGATTAGTCACTAAATTATATAAGAACTCCCCCATCAATTAGAAAAAGCCAATAGAAAAATGAACAAATGACATTCATGAGAAACCAGAATACAATAAAAACATGGAAAGAAATATTAGAGAATAGAGAAAGGCAAATTAAAACTACAATGAAATATCATTTTTTACTCACTAAATTGGCAAAAATTATGAGGTCTCACAATATCAATTGTTAGAAGGGTGTGAATCAATGAGAACACGTAAACTGCTGATGAACTTGTAATTTGGTACTACAACTTTGGAAAACTATTTGGCACTATTTTGTAAAATTAAATCTTTGAAGACCTCATGCCTTAACAATTCCTCTTTCAAGTGTACTAACCAGAACACTTCAACATAGCAACTAGAAACAACTAGAGGAAGTTTTTGAAAAGCACTCTTTGGGCCGGGTGTGGTGACTCACACTTGTAATCCCAGCACTTTGGGAGGCTGAAGTGGGCGGATGGCTTGAGGTCAGATGTTTGAGACTAGCCTGGTCAACATGGAGAAACCCTGTCTCTACTAAAAATGCAAAAATTAGCTGGGTGTGGTGATGAGCGCCTGTAATCCCAGCTACTAGGGAGGCTGAGGCAGGAGAATCACTTGAACCTGGGAGGCAGAGACTGCAGTGAGCTGAGATCATACCACTGCACTCCAGCCTGGGCAGCAGAGTGAAACTTCATCTCAAAGGAAACAACAACAACAAAAAAAGCACTCTCCAGTAGCCAAAACCTGGAAACGACCCAAATAAGTTTATTCTGACGGTGAAACATTCTACAGCAGAGCAAATGAATGAATTACAGCCAAACATGAACATGTGGAGCTTAGAAACAAAACGTGGAGTGAAAAAAGCAAATCCCAGAATATTATGTACAGTATGAAATTTTTATAAAACTCCAAAGTAGCAAAACAATATACTGTTTTTATAAAAAATGTGATAAAACTATTTTATACAAGCAATGAAATGATAAACATGAAATTCAAGAGAATGATTTCCTCTGGATAGGAATCCAGGTGAACGTAATAGAGAGGACAATACAGGTGAATGCAAGTTATTGGTAACTACTGGTTCTTGAGTTGTGTAGTATATACATGAGCATTCATACATAGTGACATAATGTTTCATAATGTGCACGCATTCCCCATGATCTTTTATTTACAATTAGTATATTACATTAAAATGTAAATATAGAGACATAAAGCTTGAATACTCAATAATTTCATATTTGAAAATAAAATACAGTCATTTTTAAAAGCTTGGAAGATAACATATAGTTATATGATTTATTCGTTGTTTTATCATAAAATTTTTTGTTTTGAATCTCATAACAAACCTAGAATATTTTAGGGACAGATACTAATTTAAGAAAGTTTTGTGAGGGAGAAACCATGAGGCCAAGAGAAGCTGGGCGGCTTATTCAAAGTCATCAGTTTGGTCAATGATGGGTCAGGGCCTCTAATTTAGAGCTTAAGCCTCCAAATTCTGTGCTGTTCCCAACAACCCAGACTCACACCAAAAGGGAGTATTGGGAAGAGGGCTCAAAATACTGAAAATAGAAATGTTCTCACAGGGGAAATGCTGTCAACAGGAAACTGTCTACCAATAAGGGGAAAAGGAGGGCGTGGTTTTCAGGGGCCGTGTGAACAATTTTCATTGTTGCGCGTGTGTTAAAACTCTTTATCACAAACCTTAACCACCAAAGAGGATCCTTTCTTTTTTCCTAAAACACGAAGTTGCTTAGTTTCAAAATTCATTCCCTGCTACGATGACTCTCAACACACTATGAAGACAGCAGATGTAGTAGCTCCCTCTCCACTTCACAAAGGGAAGAGAAAGCCAAAGAGAAGCAACCTACCTTTGTCACTGTCAAACCAGCCAGTGTCTCCCTAATCTTCTCACTGCTGCCTGCATGTCCTGGTTCCTCAGGGTATAGATCATGGGATTGAGCATGGGGGTCATGACTGTGTGGCCGATGGACACAACTTTGTCCATAGGGAATGGGGTGAAGGGCCGGGCGTAGAGGTAAATGCTTGGAACAAAGATCATGGAAACCACAATGATGTGGGTGGTGCAGGTGGAAGCTGCCTTCCTTCTTGCCTCCCCTGGATGCGACCTCAGCATCACCAGGATGAACAAGTAGGAGGTCAGGAGGAGGAAGAACAAGATGACATCCAGCAGCCCACTGTTGGAGATCATGAGGAACTCCAGGAGGGAGATGTCAGTGCAGGCAAGTCTCAGTACTTGGGGAACATCACAGTAGAAGTTATCCAAAATGTTGGGGCCACAGAAGGGCAGTGGGAGCATCAGAGCCAGCTGGACAATGGAGTGGGCAAAGCCTCCCACCCAGGCGGCCACCACCAGCCCCACACAGAGCTGACTGTTCATGATGGTGACATAGTGGAGGGGCCGGGAGATGGCAATGAGGCGGTCAAAGGCCAGCACTGAGAGGAAGAAGACCATGGCACCTCCCAAAAAGTGGAAGAAGAAGATCTGGCCCATGCAGCCCTGGTAGGAGATGGTTTTCTTCTCAGAGAGGAGGTCCACTAGCATTTTGGGCTCAGTGACTGAAGAGAAACAGAGGTCTAGGACAGCCAGGTTTCGGAGCAGAAAGTACATGGGTGTGTGGAGCTGGGAATCAGAGGTCACTGTGATGATGATAAGGATGTTTCCCATAACAGTGGTGATGTAGACAAACAGGAACATTAAAAACAGGAAACACTGGACCTCCCGAGTCTGTGAGAGCCCCAGGAAGACAAAATCTGATGCCCATGTGAGGTTCCCTTGTTCCATGGTGTTTTCTCCATACTCCTAAAGAAAATGAACCACAGACACAGATCCATGAAGTCACTACTTTCCCTTTCAGGGCTCAGGGGCTCAAACCAAGGTTTTGGGCCCACATGATGAGCATCCTATGTGTAGACTATGATACTAGGTGCCGTCCTGTCTCTGGGGAGTTTACAGGTGGGTGCTGGGATACACATTCCTGAAATCTTAACGTCATCCAGAAATATATGCAACCTGCCTTTCAAAGATTCATATAGTGGTAGGAAGCCACTTGGAGTCAGATACATCTGAAGTCAAATTTCAGGTCTTTTGTTTCATTGTGATTTGACCATGAGTAATTTACTTAATCTTTCTGGGCCTCAGTTTTCACATTTGTAAGGTAGAAATAAAAATACCTGCTTTATAAAATTTTCTGAGGGCTTAAGTAGAATGATAGATAAAAAGTTCCTAAAACGGTGCATGGAATAATCAATGGCAATTACTCACCTCTGTGAATTCTCTTAATCTAAAGATACCCTCTCTTCCAGTCTCTACTAAGATTCTTTGCCAATTGTTTTTCACATGACAGTTAATACATCATCATGTTAATGGATTTTCCTGTGTCTATTTTTTCCCTCCACAATTCAACTATTAAGTCCAGAGGCTATATCTGGATCTCACAATTTATTTGCGCCCTGCAGTACCCATTCTTAATGATAGTCAACATTAAAAAGCACGTGGTGTTGACTGCTGGGTGGGTGAATAGCTATCGGGTGTACAAGTTCAGCACAAGGAAGACACTGGATGCAGTTGGATGCCTGAGACATCCAGTAGTTCTGCCCATCACAGTGGGCAGCCTCTTATGAGTGAGGCATATGTGGTGTGTATGCTGAGACAAGAGGGAGAAAAGGGAAGGAGAGTCATTGGATTGAGAAACAGATGATGAATATTGTATTAAGGGGACTCAGCTTCTGAATGAAACAGGAATTTGACAAGATGTTACTGAATCCAAGGGTAGGAGACAAAGGAAGTTGTTGAAAGAAAACAAATAGAAATAGACAGAGGAGTAAAGGGAGATGAAGAAATAGAGCAAGTGAAGGTAGGGGAAGTGGAAAAGTGCTGGGGAGATGGAGAAATGGGACTAAAGGGACAGAAGAAGATGGAGGAGCTGGGTGAGGTGGCTCACGCTTGTAGTCTCAGAACTTTGGGAGGCTGAGGCGGGTGGATCACTTGAAGTCAGAAGTTTGAGACCAGCGTGGTCAACATGGTGAAACTCTGTCTCTACTAAAAATACAAAAAAATTAGCTGGATATGGCGGCACACACCTGTAATCCCGGCTACTTAGGAGGCTGAGGCAAGAGAATCGCTTGAAGCTGGGAGTTGGAGATTGCAGTGAGTAGAGATCATGCCACTGCACTCCAGCCTGGGCGACAGGGTGAGACTCTGTCTCAAACAAACAAACAAAAACAAACAAACAAAAACCAAACAAAAAAAAGGAAAGAAAAGAAGAAGATGGAGGGTGACAGGGTAGGGGGTCAGTGGTCTCCTCCCTCCCCTTGCCCTGTCTCAATCTCTCCTACCCTCTCTTACCTGGCCTATTGCAATCTATTATCTACAGTATTAGAGGTTGTTCTAATCTTATTCTGCTCCTTCAGTTTACTTCCACTCCAGGACACCTTCTACACAGCTGTCCATGAGACCTCTCTGACTCAGACGTGGTCATATTCCTCCTAGTTATAATATTTGATTGGCTCATAGCTTAAAACTCAAACTCTCAGAAGCCATCTAAAATGCTTTGTGGATAAACTCAGGGTGGAAGAACATACCTACATAGGTGCATGCAACTCTTTCTCAGCATTTCATACGAGACTGTAAAATATAGCCTCTCTATACCTTTCTATTCAGTATCACTATAACCTAGGAACCGACTGCTGTTCAAAGAAATTCATAGCTTCTGTGTAGGCAGTCTACTTTATTGTTTTCATATCTTTGGTAATAAATCCTGTTTCCTGAAATGCCTTTTGCTACCTTCTCAACCTAGAGGCAGCAAGAGAAATATCACTTTCCCTTTGACTCCTCCCCCCATTTCTCTCATGCAGAATTAATTCCTCATTTCTCTGTGTTCCAATAGCATTTGATAAATACCTCCATTATAGCATTTATCATTTTTTCTATTGCTCCATTTAACTAGATTGCAAATTAAATAACTTAGTAAGCCCAGAGTCTATGACAGTATCTCTGATTTAGCACTTGCTCAGAAATGTTCACCAACTTAATATATTAGCAGGTAAATGTGACTTTGTTTTATATGACAATGTTGAGAATCTTGTGATTTTCCTCATCCTTGATATCCTTTGCTGTGAGCATCCCCCCTCTAAGTCTCGTAGGGAAAATTCTGTGCTTTGTTGTTTTCATATGTAACCAGAGGCATCTGTTTTCAACATTACATTCCCCCTGCAGTTTTTCTTGAGTCTCTGCTGATCCTTTAGACTTACTACCATCAGGTCTATGTCACTTGTTTATTACTCCCACCCTCTAGCAGGTGTTGCAAGATCTTTCTTACAGCTGATCTATGTGCAGCTGAGGAAACACTGGTCTCTCACCTCCGTTTAGCCCAGAATGGCGCTTCAGCCTACATCTTCTTGGAGATCCTTTGCTTCAGCCTCACAGTTTCCTAGCCCCTGCCCTTACTTCATGTATAATACCATGAGTGAGACCCCAGGGGAAGGGGGAATATCCTTGGGGAGAAACTATTGGACAGAGCTCAGGAAGCTGAGCTGTGCTGATTATCACTGGGGCCAAGGGAGCAATGGGAGTTGTTGAAAAGTTTCTAAATGTCTCAAAAGCACACACTCTTTGAGAGGTCTTCCTTGGGGGGCTCAAAGTACCAAGCACATTGAAAATTTTAGAGATTTGAGGAATGGATAATATTCAGGCCAAGATCCAAAAGGACAAGAGGGTCTTCAAAAAAAGGGAGACTCTGAAAGTTTTAGAAGAACCTATTTCTTAGACCAGTGACTCTTACCCTTGAGAGAATTACCTGAAGGCCTTGTTAAAAGGCAAACTTGTGTTCCCAGCCCAGAATTTCTCATTCAGTACATCAATGGTAAGACCAAGAATTTGCATTTGTAACAAGTTCTCAGATAATGCGGATGCATCTGTTCCAGGGACCGGACATTGAGAACCAATGACTTGCTCATCAGCACAACGGACAGTTCTCTTTTGTGGCGCCGTTAAGATAACTAGTTTGATTTCTTCTCCTTTTAAACTGAATTGATGTTTACGTAGGCAATGTCATGGATGGGAAAATGTTTGTATACTAAAATGAAAACTTAATTACCCCATAAATCTTGTTCTTCATCTTGTCAACCATGCCCTCACAGTTGATTCACTACCCATATCAACTATACTCACACCATCTACAAAGTGCTTGCATTCTTCACATGTCAATTATTACTCCCTTTAATACAAGGATTGGCACAAGAAACCCATATATTTTCTAATTATGAGAAACTGATTAAAAATTGGAATTAACCAACATTGTAACCTTGATGTGCTATAAAATCTGTGTGATTTCTTACAGCTCTCTGATCCACATGAGGTTCTCAGGTTGATCTGAATTCTTTCATTGCAAATGTTTATACTTGGCAAAATAAAGAATCTGCCTCTGGGGATAAGAGCACGATGTGAAGTTCTTATACATTCAAGAGATGTCAATTTAAAAAAACCCAAATTCTTCCCATTATTTGGAGCTTTAGTCCACTTTAAAATTGAGCTACTCAGAAAAGTAGTCTAGATTGATGGTGGGAATGGGCAGGCCTTGTTAATGTTATTGACTCTCAGATGGGTGATTCTGAATTACCTGGATTAATTCTTTATGATTCCAATTTAGCTTTCAGTAATAGAGACCTGGTAGATTCCAGTTTATGTATTTCCCCAGTCAAGGTACACGTAGGTGTGTAAAAGCTCCATCAAAGCTCATCTTTACTGCAACCACTAGCCAATATAATAGTTGCCAGTGTATGAATGGCCTGGATGGAGTAATTATGCTAAAGACTCAGTCATGGAAAATTGAGCTGAGAAAATTATTTCCATATGTATCACATTCTTAAGAAAATAAATGTTTGTCAGACTTAGCTACTATTATAATGTCAAGCCATTAAATGGATACAGGACACATGTAGAAGAAACATCATGTAAATTCTCATGCAGGAAGCCCAGCACCATTGATAATTAATCATTTTCCCTTTGTGATGGTCAGTATCATGTGTCAACTTCATTAGGCGATAGTTCCCAGTTATTCAATCAAACTCTAATCTAGGTGTTGCTGTGAAGGTATTTTGTAGATATAATCGATGTCTATAATCAGTTGACTTTAAGTAAAGGAGGTTATCCTAGATAATCTGGGTGTGCTTGATTCAATCAGTTGAAAGAACTAAAGAGAAGAACTGAGGTTTCCTGGAAGGAGGAAAATTCTGCATGTAGACAGCAACTTCAGCTGATGGCCTGCCCTACAGATTACATACTTGGCTAGCCAGTTTCATATCATGTAAGCCAAGTCCTTGCAATAAATGCCTCTCTCTCTCTCTCTCTCTCTCTCTCCCCCCCCCCACAGAGAACATAGCCTCAGCAAGAGATGCCTTAAAGGCATAAATTCTCATAAATATAGCCACATTCATTTTAATGGGTGCATATTCAACAAATTCAATTAAGCACCTGGTGTTGTGGAATAACCATGTGTAAGATAAATCTGGAAGAAATTTTACTTATATTCCTTCCCTTTGTGTCAGTGTTGTAGATTATAAGCAGCTTTTCTGTGCTGCTTATTACTTTTAGGATTGATATTCTGAATCATATACAAGTAAGATTTTTATAAACTAAAAAGTGGCCCAAGACAACTTTAAAAAAATTAAATGAATAAATGACTTCCGGTTATAAGAAAACAAAGGTTTTTCTTTTTCTCTTCCTTACTGGAAACAGAAGTCTTACCTGCAATAAAATTAAGACATGTTTACAACTCAGATGAC